TATAAAATGAAACTGAATACGCCATAACAAATAATTAGTTGGATGGAACGGCTAAATGAGTGTCGTTCTTTTCATTAAAAGAAACGATACCATTTTAGACTATGGTCCACAGTAAAATTTACCTTATTTTAATAGATTGGTCATATTGTAAAATGGACTCTAGTCAAAGATACTCAGTATAATTTATTATAGAGTGTCAAAGTGGGTTGAGACTCGCAATTATCTCTAACCTGTCCCATGGTGGGGCGAGTTAGGGGTTGAAAAATTTTAGAATGTAAAGAGGCGGGCCTTGCAGGCCACTCATGAAGCTCATTTCTAAAATATTAATATATACTTTTTAAATCATATTATATATTATTGTCCAGTGTATTGTATATAATATAAATATAAATTAATATTTTTGTATAAAAAAGTCAATACAAACTATAATTGTTGGAAAATTAAAAGATGAAGCAGGCTGGGGAATATGTTTAATGTTGTGGCTAGCATTGTAAGGTGGACAGCGCATATTGCGCTCTTCATATGGACAACACATATGGCGCTTGTTTGTGGACGATGCACGTCCTTTCCATTTTTGTGGAAGAGATAGAGGGGTTGCTTACTATAAATAGCAGCTCCCAACATCGTTTTAGAACACACCTGAATTCGAGTCATTTATTCTATTCTCCATCTCTCTCCCTTCGTTTAAGCCATAGTGAGGTTCGCCTACGTGATTGCTAGTGCAAGCTATCCGTAGTAGGTCTGTGTAGCCTGTCAAAAGCGTGTCAGGGTTCTAACTACACCGTTATCAGGCAAATAACGCTTTTAAGGTAGTGTTATTATAACACGGCACAAATTTCCTTTGAACTATACACCCATAATGTACGTGCTTCTTAAAAGTCTTCCAGATCATGCGCTGCCGTTGCGATTATTTTCGAACAGTTAAAAGCGTTATTTAGCAACAGTCAACCTTTACCGTTATGACACCTTATGTCATACCCGATCTATCAAAAATCACCGCGCTTGATGGAAAAAATTACAGTAGGTGGGCTCAAAGAATGCATATCCTCTTTGAACAATTAAAGTTGGTTTACGTGCTATATTCAGTTGCACCTGAACCTACTCCAACAGTGTTCTCTCCTTTTGGTGCTACAAAAGCTAACCATGAACCTGATTACACTCCAGGTGAAGAATCGAGAGAAAGCAGTCCTAAAATATATTACATTCCGGGTCAATAACTGGGTGTAACTCTAATGCAGTTTAGAAATGACAATGCGGCAGCCAGAGGATATCTTCTGTCACAAATGAATGACCATTTGTTCGACATCTATGTCAAACAAGACTCGGCAAAAGTCATTTGGGAATCACTGTCAGAAAAGTACGGTGCCAATGAAACTGAAAATCAAAGTGTCAGAACCGTCTACAACAAAAGGAGTAAAAAAGTCAAGAAGTTCAAAGGAAGCTGTTTTGATGCGGAAAGCAAAGACACCGAGCATACCAGTGCTACCATCACAAGGGCAAAACTAGCAAAAGTCAATCTGACATAGCAAGGTGAATATTGAGTCTCTTTAAATAAGTAGTTATTTTTGAGTAACTATATTTGCTCTAGTTCTAAGGGTTCGCATGAAGTATGATTGTCTTAGTACTGAATTATAGTTGAGTTGTCTAGATTTTGATTACTTATTAGTACTTATTTCTTTAGTATGTTGAATACTAATGACATTGATTGAAATAATTTGTGCATAGATATTGCTCAAAAATTTTTTTTACTAAGATTATTTGTATTTGTATAAAAAATAAGAGCATATATCATAAGTTTCAATTGTAATTTAATGAGAACTGTTAGTATTATTATTATAGTTATATTATATGGTAGTAATATATGTGGTGTTTAGAATAGATAGACTACTAGTCAGGATCTGTTAGAGAGTTGTTATTAGATAAACACTGTAATCCTATTGTTCAGTTAATGATCAACAATTATCTCTAATCTGGTATCAAAAGTCAGGTTATCGGAAAAATTCCTCTCCCCCTCACCTCCACCGCAAATTAACCCCCTCTCACCGCCATGTCTACGAATTCCTCCGAACATACCCTTTCCGCCGCCGGCACACCCTCGCCGACCGCCAGGAATACCCTTGCCAGTGCACATCATTATGTCACCATGAAACTTACGTCTAAAAATTTTTTGTTCTGGAGGATGCAGCTTCTTCCGTTCCTACGAGGCCAAGAGCTAACCGGCTTCGTTGATGGCAGCCTCCCTTGCCCGTCGGAGATGATCACCGTCGATCCGTCGACAGGCAGCACCTCGACGACTCCCACGGCGGCCGCACCTGTCCCGAACCCGGTGTATCATGCTTGGGTGAAACAAGATCAGACAATCGTCTCATTGCTGATCTCTTCGATGTCGGACGATGTTCTGCACTTCGCTCTCGGACGGAATACCTCCGCCGACATCTGGGCATCCATCTCCTCGGCGCTTGGTTCTACCAGTAAGGCACACTGTTTAAACCTCCTCGGGCAGTTCCAGCTCCTCCGGCAAGGCAACTCCACGATCGCAGATTACCTAGGGCGAGCCAGCGTGCTCGTCGAGTCCTTGATCCAGGCCGGCCGGCCACTGTCGCTCATGGAGCAAAACTTGTATGTGATCCATGGCCTCCGTCCAGAGCTGAAGTCCTTGGCAACCAGTCTCACGGCAACCGGCACTCCGGTCACTCTCTCCACTCTATCGGATTTCCTCTAAGCCCACGAGTTCATCCTCGTGGATGATTATCCGGTGGCTAATGGCGCTGCGTCTCATACGGCGCTGTATGCCGGGACTGGTCGCGGATAGCAAGGTGGTGGCGGACGGCATTCGTCGACTCAGCAGCAGCGTGGTGGCCATGGAAATCGGGGAGGGCAGCACCGCGGCGGACGTGGTGGTCGTGGAGGACCTCGCTACCAGATCTGCCGGTCACATGGCTACTCCGCCGTCTACTGCTACAAGCGGTACACCACTCAACCGCCGGCATAGGCGCATGTGGCGGTTTCCGGCGAGGCCCCGACGGCTCCACAGTCGATTCCGGAGGACGGTTGGTACCCCGATACCGGTGCGACAGCACACGCAACTCCGGATGTCGGTATGATGGGGCAATCCGACGAATATAGTGGTCCGGATGTTTTACGAGTGGGTAATGGCGCAGGTTTGGCAATTTCGCGAATCGGTCGTGCATCGATCCCATCAAAGTCTAAATCTCTATGGCTAAACGATATTTTACATGTTCCCAGTCTTTCAGTGCCATTGTTATCTGTTCATAAGTTTACTGTAGATAACAATGTATTTTTTGAATTTCAAAATAATTGTTTCATTGTGAAGGATTCCACAACCCGGGTGGTTCTGCTTAGAGGTTCTACATCGGGCGGGCTATACAAGCTTCCGGTGTCACGGTCTAGTTTCGCGTTCGTCAGTTCCAGGGCTACCCCCACTATATTGCATCAAAGGCTTGGTCACCCGCACAAACAAGTGTTGAATAAAGTCGTACAAAATTGTCCGGTCTCACCAAATAAAAATGAGCCTATTGCGTCCTATACATCTTGTCACCTTAGAAAATCGTCCCGTTTCAAATTAGATAGCATGCCACGTACTAGTCAAAATGTATTAGACTTAGTTTTTACTGATATTTGGGGTCCTTCTCCTGTACTATCAGTTAGTGGTTTTCGCTATTTCTGCTTATTTGTAGACGATTATTCTGGTTTTTGTTGGTTTTATCCACTTCGGGTAAAATCTGATTTATATAAAGTTTTTGAGGTGTTTCGTGTGTTGGTAGAGCGCCAATTTTCGTGCTATATCAAGTCTATCCAGTCCGATCTAGGGGGTGAGTACCACAAGTTATACAATATTTTCCAAACTCTTGGCATCAATCACCGTCAGTCATGTGCCTATACGCATGAACAAAACGGCAGGGTAGAGCGGCGTGATAGACACATTGTCGAAACTGGCCTTGCTCTACTCGCTGAAGGCAAAGTACCCCATGAATACTGGGACTATGCTTTTGAAACAGCCACTTTCCTAATTAATTACTTACCCTCTTCTGCTCTAAAATATGAAAGCCCATACACACGGTTGTTCAAAGTCAGTCCACCATACACTTTTCTTAGAGTCTTTGGGTCGCTGTTACCCACATCTACGCCCTTATAATCGGCATAAGATTGAGTGCAGGACCACCCCGTGTGTCTTCCTAGGTTACCCAGTTTCCTTTAGGGGGTATCGATGTGTTGACTTGACTAGTGGAAAAACCTATATCTGCCGTCATGTTCGCTTTGACGAATCTGTTTTTCCCTTTGCTACAGGCAGTTCATAGCAGGTGTCTTCATCACCGCCGTTACCGTGGGCTGTTGTTCCCATGGCCCAACCACCTGCCACAACTGTGGTGACTACACCATCTGTTTCTAATCACTCTAGCAGTGAGCCAGTGCCCCTCGCACGTGAGCCCGCACAGCTGGCTATTACTCGTACCGCTCCAGCTAGGACACGGAGGGCCCGCACTCAGCCTCAAAGTCGGGACCATGTTATGCGCCTTTGTCACATGACAAAAGGCACGGATGAACCCTTTCACGCGTTAAACGCTGTTGCTGATCCGACCTGCTATTCCCAGGCTGTGGGACATGCCCATTGGCGTGAGGCTATGGACCAGGAGTTTAATGCCCTTCTGCACAATAACACTTAGCGATTGGTCCCTCCACAACCTCACATGAATATCATGTGGTGCAAATGGGTGTTCTGCACTAAGCGCACAGCTACCGGGTCCATTGAGCGCTATAAAGCTCGTCTTGTGGCAAAGGGGTTCAACCAGGTAGCGGGTGAGGACTTTTTTGACACCTACAGTCCTGTGGTCAAACTGACCACAGTCCGCATGTTGTTTTCGTTGGCTGTGTCTAACAAGTGGACTCTACGCCAGCTAGATGTTCATAATGCCTTCCAAAATGGGCATTTAGAGGAGACTGTGTATATGAAATAGCCTCTGGGGTATGAAGATCCGACTATGCCAGGGCATGTGTGTCATCTCCAGAGGTCCTTATATGGTTTGAAACAGAGTCCTCGGGCCTGGTTCAAGTGGCTTCATGATTTCTTACTGTCTGCAGGCTTCACATCGTCCAAAACCGATGTTTCACTGTTTTATTATTCTACAGGGGAATCCCGGGTGTTTCTTCTGGTCTATGTAGATGATATAATAATGATGGGCAATGACTCCAAGCTAATAGACACTCTGTTGCATCGGCTTTCTACAGCCTTCAAAATTCGTGATCTCGGCACACCTGGTTTCTTTCTAGGCATCGAGATGGTATCAGCAGGAGATAGTGTGGTACTATCACAATGCCGATATATGACAGATTTAATAGGGCGGTTTGGAATGGTTGACTGCAAGCTGCTATCCACACCTGCGGCTGTGACCAAGTCCGTTATACCATCTGATGAACTGTTTGATAATCCAATGCAGTATCGACGCATTGTCGGAGCCTTACAGTACTTAACTATCACTATGCCTGATCTAGCCTATGTAGTCAACCGCCTATGTCAATTTATGCATACACCCACAACAGAACATTGGGGTTTAGTAAAACGGGTACTTCGCTACATTAAGGGGACATTGGACTATGGACTGCGACTTACTCCGTCCTCCTCGTCCCGCATTCATGCTTTCTCGGACTCTGACTGGGCTGGCTGTCCTATAGATTGGAAGAGTACAAGTGGGTTTGCTGTTTACCTGGGTTCTAATCTAATCTCATGGCTGTCGAAGAAGCAGCATATCGTGGCTCGATCTTCCATTGAAGCAGAGTACAAGGCTTTGGCTGATGTGTCCGCCGAAGTAACTTGGGTGGTTTCCTTGCTTCGGGAGCTCGGGTTATACTCTAGTGGTCCAGCAACGCTGTGGTGTGATAATCTTGGGGCAACCTATCTGTGTGCTAATCCTGTGTTCCATGCAAGAACTAAGCACATGGAAATTGACTATCATTTTGTTCGTGACAAGGTCGCTTCAGGAGAGTTCGTTGTTAATTACGTGTCTACTGCCGATCAGCTCGCCGATATCTTCACCAAGCCGCTATCTGCACCGAGGTTTGCTACTCTGCATGACAAGCTCAATGTTGTTACTCACCAACCTTGTGCTTGAGAGGGTGTGTTAGTATTATTATTATAGTTATATTATATGGTTGTAATATGTGGTGTTTAGAATAGATAGACTACTAGTCAGGATCTGTTAGAGAGTTGTTATTAGATAAACACTGTAATCTTATTGTTCAGTTAATGATCAACAATTATCTCTAATCAGAACATGAAAAAGTCATCATTCTTGAACACTCTGTCTAGGAAGATGGTTTTTAAGTAAACTTCGATTTCACCACTCGACCTGGGAGTACTTAAGACGTAGGGCGTTGATCGTGCAAGCTAGTTAGAGCCACACTTGATCTTAACCTGAAATGAGGTTGACTTTCATATGTTGTTAAACAATCAAAGCCTTGCAATAGAAATTGTTGAAGTACTGCAATAGTAATATTGATCTGCATCCTATGAATGCTTTATATGAGTTTTAATCTCCTCAAGTGAAGGAAAAAGTTGTGCAAGTGGCAACTCTGAAGTCTCATTGTTGAGAGATATTTCCTAATAAATATGAGCTCGAACATATTCTTTGTGTATGAGATTAATTTCTTATAAGAATATGGTGTGAAACTTGTGATTATGTTGTTCAACTTGATGTAGCATGTGGACAACATTATTTCTATGGCTTACTAACAATGAGCATTTGTAAATAATATATGTACATTATTTAAATTCTTGGTTAAGTCATCTTGAAAGACCTATAATTCCTGTTTAAAAGGCAATTAAGATGGGTTGAGATAACCAAGTTTGTTGAAATATATTCAACTATTGAGTATGTATCAGGCAAAGCGCGAAGCTACTATAATGCTCCACCAAGCAAATTGGCAAAACTCAGTCTATAAAGGAGCCAAGTTGGGCACCAAAGATCAATCTGGGTAAGATATCAAATACTTTTGAGAAAAATATTTGTAAGTGTTGCGTTGTGGGGGAAATTAACTCTTTATATATATTTTGTTCCTAAAAGTCTCTCTGTGGTACCAACAATAATGGTAGAAGAGAATGTTTCATGTTAAGCATGAAAATCTCAAGGGATTATTTACGAGTAAACGAAGTACTCATCAAAGTGTATGTAAGTTTGATTAAGAGAATCAACTTACTTGAGGGCTAATTATGAGGATTAGTCGCTGAATCATTGGAAGGACTTAAAGTCCAAGTGGTAATGAATTCGTGGTGGGTCCCACGTTTGTGGTCAAATGAAGTCATGAAAAGAGTTACAAAATAGTACACCAGTTGGTCATTCCTACAAGTGTGTACTTGTGAGGTTGAGATATAGCTCTTAATGAATTCATAACTCTTTGAGAAGGGTGGTTTTTTTTAGACAAACCTAATGAATTCACCGCATAATGACATGAGTACAAAAGTGCTCTTGGTGACTTATACTCAATTGGGGTGGTTTATTTTGAGGTAGACCTAAAGAGATCCCTGACTTGAGTGGAAAAGGGCTAACTGCCTCTTATGAAAGATAATGGGGTTATCCCAAAAAGCTGAGTGGCTAAGAAACATGGTGATAACCGTGCAGTTGTGGGGGTGTCCAACACCTTCACCACATTGTGATTCACAAATTGTCGTTTGCATTGCAAATAACAGTGCCTATGATAGAAAGAAAAGACTTATAACGGATTTATGTATTTAACTACTCTATAAGCCTTTAATGGTGGTCTATACTAAGATAGACTTGATAGAGTTAAAAGTCTATGTTGAGATAGACTTGACAAGACATAAAAATCTGTAATGCGGTAAGACTTGTCAAAGTTAAAAGTCTATGTTGTGATAGACTTTGACAGGGTAGAAGTCCATAATGAGACAGACATAACATTCTTTAATACTAAGGGTGTTCATAAGAAGTCAAAGAGTTTGACTTTCGTAGAACCTGCCTTTTGAGTTGGTGTGTGCAATAGAGTTCAAAATTTATCTAACCGGTGAGTTCAAGATTCATATCACTCTCGGGAAGAAAATTACTCAGTGTCACTATGTGTCAGTTCAAGTTCTCAAAACACTAACATTAAGGCCCACTCATTTTGTATTGCTCAGACATTATCATTTTTCTTTCCTCTTTAAATTTGTGGGGGATTGTTGGAAAATTAAAAGATGAAGCAGGCTGGAGAATATGTTTAATGTTGTGGCTGGCATTGTAGGGTGGACAGCGCATATTGCGCTCTTCATATGGACAGTGCATATGGCGCTTGTTTGTGGACGATGCACGTCCTTTCCATTTTTGTGGAAGGGATGGAGGGGCTGCTTACTATAAATAGCAGCTCCCAACATCGTTTTAGAACACACCTGAATTCGATTCATTTATTCTATTCTCCATCTCTCTCCCTTCATCTGAGCAATAGTGAGGTTCGCCTACTTGATTGCTAGTGCAAGCTATCCGTAGTAGGTCTGTGTAGCCTATCAAAAGCGTGCCAGGGTTCTAGTTGCACCGTTACCTGGCAAATAACGTTTTTAAGGTAGTGTTATTATAACACGGCACAGATTTCCTTTCAACTATACACCCATAGTGTTCGTGCTTCTTAAAAGGCTTCCAGGTTGCGCGTTGACATTACGATTATTTTCCAACAATAATTATGATTAAAATATTAAAACATCATTACCCATCAAATTATAATGTATATCAATTATTCAATTAAAATTTATATGTTTTTTCATATTTATATATTAAAAATATAGTATGTAATGTAATATAAGTATCTTATCTACTACACTAATAAGAGCCAAAAGAAGTTAGGTCTATAATGATTAAAAAATGAACATCAAATTATTAAATCAAATGAATGATTCGGATTGATCAGATTTTAATATTTTTTTAAGATTTCCTAATTTACCCTTAATTATATGATTTTTTGTTAATTCTCCCGTTAATATTTACTCCTCTGTTAATATCATTACAATTACTCGTTAATTCTAAAGACATAAGAGAATGGTTGGGAGTATTTGTAGGGTTTGACAGGTAATGGAAGTCGTATTATACAAGTCTCGGTATAATGCATTTGCATCCTAATCAACAATAAGATGAGATTATGTACTTCAACAGGTTGAAAAAGTATATATAGATGAACAGATACTACAATGTAATGGAGTCAGTAGCTTTCAAAAAACAATAAGATGAGATTATGTATTTCAATACGTACACCGTCATTTAGTATGTCATCTAATCATATAATAACTCTTCCGTATTAATTTAAAGAATAATATTTGATGCATGGCCACTTTATAAATACTATACACCAGTGGTGAAAAAAAAGACGCCACATCATTCAAAAAAAAATGTAATATTGACCGAGTCTTTGCAAAATATTTATTACTTTATAAATTATTAAGTATTATTTTATTAAAAAACTATTTATTTCTAATAATTAGCAAAATTTATAATAATAATAATAATAATAATAATAATAATAATAATAATAATTTCTGCCTGGGAATGGTAAGTTGATTTGTTTAACTCTTTCCTCAAAGACTATATAACATTTTGGTTTAGAAATGTCACATGATGATTATTATTGCCTTGTGGAACTACAGAGGAAATATCATCTAAATGGAATTGTCTGTGTCATTACAAAGTACATTTAAATGAATTCTGTCACTTGTAGTGGATGTTGTAAGTGAAAAATGATCATATTTGTGCTATGTGTACTGGAAACATGCAAGAACAGTTTAACTATGTGCAAGCTGGGTAGTGTCATGTTATTATGTTAAAACTGTATCCAGATAAGTGGTAATGCAGATCCTTTTCTAGACTTGTGCTTGTGCATTTTCAGGAGTATACAACATTGACTCATTTGTTTATTATTAAAATAAACTTTAAATTCAAGGAAATCAAACTAACTCCAATTTACTCAAGATATTGCCCATGCCTCATGAAGTATTGATTTGCAATATATCATGATTTGGTCGACAATAATTTATGTCATGTTCAATTGAATGCTATCTACTTTATGATACAATTATTCCCGGCCCTCTTAACACAGCTATTCTTGTTAGTTGTTCTCATGCATATATTATTCTTCATAAGTACACATAATTTATCTGATGTTATTCTCATCTACAACTGGTTCCTAAACAAAACCAAGTTAGAGAAGTATAGAACTGATAGGGAGACCTGGGTTTCTGAATGAAGTATACCTTGAAGGGCCATTACTTCATACGCACAATATTATCTCTAAACATGATCACTATCTTTAACATATTCTGACCATGATTTGGAGTACGTTCTTTAATTTGTTTCTCTACATGCCAAATTAAAATCTTATTCTAATAGTTAATAACTTATTATTTTATGTACCTTTATCAATGATAATATACTACAAAATACTATCAGCTTGAAATGTATAAGATTAGGTGGTGCACTATACTATCAGCTTGATCAGAAGTTATTTTCTTTATAGTTATGACCATTTATTGAATTTATCATTTTTTTTTAGCATCTCTTAATTTTTTAGCATCTCTCTTTATGGAGTCTGGACGTTCTGAAATTTTAGAATCTAACCGTGTGGAGAAGAATAAAAAATCTAGGGAATGGTATTCTTCTAATGAGAATCAATGAGCAAAGAACAACTTGCAATGATGAAATGCTTACTCAGTAATGGATTCTTATAAAAAACGAAAGATTCTAGATGTGTGAAACGAAAAGCGTCGAGTCAAAATTAACGAAGCCGAGTCTTTGCAAAATTATGTTATCACCAGTAACACAATTGAAGATCACACACTACCAATACAAAAAAAAAAAAAAAAAAAAAAAAAAAGATATGTAGTGAAGATGAAGACAATGTCAATGTTACCCAAAAGAGAATTGAGAATACTTAAAAATTTTAAATCAAAAGTAGTATTTACTTAGACTATCGTTTTTAGACTAAGTATATATAGACTTGTTGGTTATTGGTGAATAAATCGATACACTAAATATATATATATATATATATATATATATATATATATATATATATATATATATATATATATATATATTTATTTATTTATTTATTTATTTATTTATTCATTTATTTATCTGAAAATGGAATTTAATTTTTAGAAAATTAATTTCAATCAATTTTTTTTTTGCAAAAATTTTAGGGCTCCGCTCCCTAACTTAATATTCTCTTTGCAAAGGTTTTCCCTCATCCTCTATTGATCGGCCGCCACCTCCTCTCGTTTTGCGGAGGCGCTGGCCTCCTCTCGTTTTGCGGAGGCGCCGGCCTCCTCTCGTTTCTTCTCCTACTCTGACCGTCTCTCAATCGCTTGTCCTTCGGCCTCTCCTCCGCTGTCGGCACCTCTTCCCGCCTCTCTTCCACCGCCACCATCTCTTCCGGCCCCTCACCGACGTTTCTTCTTCCTTCACCACCGTCCCTCGCCATCTCCAACTGCAGATCCAAGCTTCTTTACCTTTGTTTTGTTAAAGTTATTTCCTCTCATTTCATCTGCGAGTTATTTCCTCTCGTGTCTTGAGAGAGTTTTCCTCTCGTTTATTTGGCGAGTTCTTTTTTCATAAGATGAAACAATTATTTATCTGATAGTGGAGTATGTTTGCTTCATCCCGAGCAACGAAGAAGATCTGAACCTTGATATGCAGTTCAGATTAATGGAGATAGACAGAAGAGCCGCAATAGAGTGAAACTTGGGTAGCAAGATCATTAACAATATCAAAGAAGCTTCAGGTTCTCCAAACAAATTCAGCTTCAATCTTGAAAAACACTCAGAGATTCAAGTTTCGTGTAGCATTGGAAATTTGTTTCAATGTGTGATTGTAAGAATGTTTTATCATTCCATCGATCTTATTATAAACTTTTCGTATGATTAATGAATTAGCTCTTTTATTTCAAAAAAAAAAAAATCAATCAATTTTTGGTACAAAACCAAAAATAACATACATATACGAAATATATATATTAAAAAATAGAGATTTATTTTATCAAAAATAATCCCACCACAACTAATATGAAACTAGTACAAGGGATTTAATTAATCCTTACGAGATTAATCCACCACTTGGTACGAAACCAAGAACAAATATATAAAACAAGAAAGGGTTTCTAACCTGAGGTTTTAACCCAACGAGAAGAAAAGGAAGCCCGACGCAAGTCGTGTGTACACACACTCTCCTTAAAACCGATTCGTCACATCTCGAGGGTGCTAGAAGCTTTGTGGCGTGAGTCTCCCAGGATAAAATGGACTACGACTTTCATGTTTGATCACTCAAACCCAAAACCCGGGCGAACAAGAACACAAGTTGAGAACTCCGTAAAATTTACAGAAGATGTTGGTAGAAATTTCCCTTCCTAACAATACAAGAGGTGAGAGTACGTGAAGGAGAAAAACAAGAAAGAAAGTTTTGATAGTTTTCAATCTAAAGTGCAACAAATTCAGCCAACCATCAAAGCTTTTTGTAGGAGAAGAGAATTAAAAGCATCATAATGACCCATTAATCAACCATAAATCTATTTTATTAATTAGATAATAACGTTTGAAACGGTCGTACTTATTAACAAAATCAACAATTACGAACTTAATATTAGATTAATTTGTACCAACAATAATGATCTGAGTGACCGAAAAGTTCGTACTAACCAAAAGGTTAACGAATTGAGACCAAAAACCACACCTGAATGATCTACAAGCACCGAAACGGTGCAGAGCATTAACTCGTGTACATCGAATCCACAGCACAAATTGATGCTAAAGCCAAAGCTTAACAATTCGTGCTTCAAAATTCATGTGCACCGAATTGAGGCACCAAAACCAAAGTTTCAAAGATTTGTACATGCCTCTTCATGCATTAACTCGTGCTTCCCAATTCTTTATAAATTAAGCTTTCAAATCTTAATCCACTTAAGCTTAAGTTACCAACTTTCGTACAGAGCTACAAATAATGTTATGAAAATGCTAATTTTAATTAGAATCTAAACTTAAGGTTAAGTTTTGACTTATCTCAAATAGGTTCATTTTGAGAATTAATTTTTCATTCACCTATTACTCATTTTGAGCGTACATTATATCAAATTCTTCGTCTCACTACGAAGAGTGCGAATCCACTTTGACCTGACCTAAATCAGAAGTGGATCCCACATATATTTGTACCACAAAATAGTCACTCAAAATGCCATTTTTAGCTAAAAATTTCCAATAAGACTAGCATTTTTACAAAGTTGCAAACAATTATTTTAGTGATAATTATAATCAATCTCGATTATATTATCTTGCATTCATAAACTTAGAATTACATATTTAAATAAACAAATTCAACATTCAATTACCTATGCATAACCATCTCAAATATAATCTTGCATTGATATATTTTAAAGTACTTGTTTAAAAATAAATTTTGGGCATTATATCATTCACGCAATGCGCATGAAAAACTAATAATAATAATAATAATAATAATAATAATAATAATAATAATAATAATAATAATAATAAAAAAAAAAGGATGTTAATAAGGAAGTTCGTCCCGCGGCGGGTAAAAAATTTGGCAGTTCTTGGTGGACCAAACTTCTCCGATCCTAACCTGCCCCAAAAGGGTGCAACCATCGTGAGCGGGTCCGCAAGCTACCTTCAAATATTATCCTTAATTATATGATTATCCATTAACTTTCCCGTTAAATATTATCTTCTCTGTTAATTCATCACTAACATTGCTTCAAAAGAAAAGCACACAAATAATTATAGAATTCTAATATTAAAATCTTAATAGAACTCTAACCCACAAATCCATATAGAATTATAACTCACCATCAGTCTAATTCTAATATTAAAGTCTAATATAAAATTATAACTACATCATTAGTATAATTCTAATATTAAAGGCTTAATAAAACTCTAACCCACAAATCCTTATAGAATTATAACTACACCACCATTAATTTATATATTAAGCCATTGCACACTGGTTAGAAGTAGTACAAACCTTATTATGCAACAAAACATCAACGGGGAATTCTGTGTTAAGACTTGGTCTGATCAAACACAACATCAACTGGGAATTCTGTAGGTATGTTTGTACATCTCTCCTATCATGTTTCTATAATATTATTTGTATAAACAAATTGCCACTGCAATATGACTGATTGCCTTCAACCTTCTGTCAAAATCCCCTCAAACTATATAGTATGTATTTAATATCTTATGCTCTCATCTTTATTTGCTCTCCCTTATGTCCCATGTTTGGTTTCAATCATACCCATACAATTATTTTATTGACCATTATAATCAATATAATCCTGACTATATTATCTTGCATTTGTAAACTTAGAATTACCAATTTAAATACGTAAATTCAACATTCAGTTATCTATGCATGAACAACTCCAATATAATCTTGCCTTGATATACATTAAAAGTACTTATTTGAAAATAAACATTGGGCATTATCACAATCGCGCAATGCGCGTGAAAAACTAGTTTCTTTATAAAAGTTCTTTTAAAAGAAATTTGAGCTAGTTGGTGGGCGAACCCGTGAGACTTGCCAACTCGCATGGGGAAAATTATGTTGTGGACCATGATTCACATTGTAATGTGGAACATGAATAAATATTCATTTTTAATATATTGAAAGTACATTATATGTGTATTGAAGGTTTATTATTTGGTAATATACCAAATTATGAACCTTCAGTACTCAAATAATGTATTTTTAAAAAATGAATCTTTAATGTATTAAAAATGTACATTTAGTATATTAAAAATGTACCTTATGTTAGTGATTTACATTATAAAGTGGACCATGGTTCATGGTATAATGATTGTGTGCATACGGTGAGTTAGGGCTAAAGAAATTTACCATACAAGCTTCGCGAACCGACTTGCCAAATTTCTAGCACATTGCAAGTGAGCCAGCCTTGACCCGCCGAATTTGTCATATGAAGTATGAGAAATTACATTTTTAGTCCCTCAATTCTTTACTACTTGTCATTTTAGTCTTTAACTTTTTGTCATTGCAATATAAGAAACCTAAATTTTGTAAAAATAACAAAATTAGTCCCTAAAACAATAAAACCATTAAACCACATTAGGGTTTTACTTATTACATGAATATTTTAGTAATTTATTATCTTTCTTCTTATAGTCTCTTCAATTTTGATACGGAATATTTCATATGCAAAATAGAGAATTGACAACCTTCTTTTCTAAATTTCTCCTCATTATATGCAATACATCGTCTTTGTTTTTCTTTATACGAACTTGTTAAAATCAAGTTATTTATTTTGCATATGAAATACTGAAATTAAAGAGCGTTGTAATTAAAGAAAAAACATAAAAATTACTGAATACTCATGTATTAAATAAAAAAAACCCTAACGGGATTTAATAGTTTTGTTGTTTAAATGATTAAATTACAATTCTTTTTGAAAAATTGCAAGAATTTATTGCAACCGTAAAAATTTAGAGAACGAATAAAATAAAAAAAATATCTGAGAACCGAAAATTACATTATTTTTTTTATAAAATATAACTCATGAACCAAATATATCATTTATTTTTTCCAATAAATATCAAAGCCTCAAAATTGCATTTTTGATGGGTGAAGGAGACATCATGAAACGACCCAACCTTTAGGAGAAGAAGATGAAACGACCCAACCCTTGAGAGTAGAACCAATATTACTCCTCCGTCTTTTCGTTATTTACATTTTCGCCCTAAGTCAAAGTTTCCTGTCCTAGTAGCGTCCGATACTCCGATGTACTCTTCAACGGCAGAGAGCGGCGGCGCGTCGCTCCCCTCCACTGGAACCGATGCCAAGAAGCGGCGCGTGTCGTATTTCTATGAGCCGACAATCGGAGACTACTACTACGGACAGGGACACCCCATGAAGCCCCACCGTATTCGTATGGCCCACAACCTAGTCGTCCATTATTCCCTCCACCGCCGCATGGAAATCAGTCGCCCCTTTCCGGCCGATGCGGTCGACATCCGCCGCTTTCACTCGCCGGACTACGTGGACTTTCTGGCTTCTGTCAGTCCCGAGACGCTCCACGACCACACTCACTCTCGCCATCTCAAGCGCTTCAACGTCGGCGAGGATTGCCCCGTCTTCGACGGGCTTTTTAAGTTTTGCCAAGCTTCGGCCGGTGGATCCATCGGCGCCGCCGTGAAGCTTAACCGACAGGACGCTGACATAGCTATCAATTGGGCGGGGGGTTTGCATCATGCGAAGAAGAGCGAGGCTTCGGGCTTCTGCTACGTTAACGACATCGTTTTGGGCATCCTTGAACTTCTGAAGTACCACAGGGTATGTTGTTTCCTGCTTTTCGCATAATCCTAGCATATATTCATCAACCGAATTTTGTAGCGAGTCCTTGCAGTTCTTATCTTCTGTTAGTTTAAATTTTGGTGTTCACTTGGGAGTTTAGTTCATTTTGACGGTAATGCTTCCATTGGTCTGGAAATCTGCTAGCACACCTTTGTTCACTTGATAAACTGGGGATTTTGAATGAGTTTGAATTTTGGCTCTAAATTTTGGTTATCATTACAGGGAATTTGCATTTTGGCATGAAGAGTTTATGTATGCACTTTGGCTGTATTTATGAAAGAGGTTAATAACTATAAATGGGGTTTTTAACAAGTCAACATTTGCCTTAATCTGAACCTAGTTTATTTCTTTTGTTGTTTCTATGAAATCTTTAGGAGCTTCTTTTAATGAGGGTTACCACCAATCACCCCAAGTGGGATATATTAAGCCATTATGGCATCAATTCCACTGCAGTTAAATAACTTTAAGTTAATAGCATTTGTACTACTAGAGTGAGTGCTTGTTTGGCCTGGGGGCCTAGGTAAACAGACTTTTCTAAAAAGTTTCAATTATGAAGCTTTTTTGGAAAAGATCTTTTGTACCCCTCATTTGGCTTTAAAAACCTTTGTCTTGTTAGTGTTTGGCCAAACTTATTCTGTTTGTAGTGGTGCAAGATTTACTGCCAAGACTTGCCAATTCTTTTTAGGAGGTTCATCATAGGCTCACCCTGTGGGAACTTCATTAAACCATTGATGCATCGTTTACATAGAATTGAAGACTTGAAGTATCTTTAAGCAGATAACATTATTAGAATAAGATTAAGGTATAATACAGTGAACTATGTCATCTGCACTTGCCATTTCTAGAGGAAAAATTGTGCAAATATTATGGTACATTGAATTTTCACAAGGATTGCTCCAATCACCAGCAATGATAGATGTCAAAGGATTAGATTAGTTTGGCATGCATAAATTGATATATATAATTAGTAGTTAGCTTCATATAAACTCTGTTTGAGGTTCTATCACAATCTTGAGAGTAGGAAGGTACTAACGTCTGTTTGTGCTTTTCTCCACCCACCATTCAGAAAAACATTTAGAAGAATTCTAGATGATGATTAGTTGTTCTTGTTGTCATGAAGAAAGTTGTGGTTAGCAGGCAGCAGTGCTGTTATCTGAGTATGACCTTTAAAACTGTCGCACACCATATGTGCTTAACAACCCAAGGCATTTGTTTTCTTCTCTTTTTTCCCCCTTGAGTTTTTAGTTGAGGTAGAATATATGATTTAATATTCAAAAGGTCTTAGATAGTTATATATTTGAGTCCCACACACTACCCATCAATGGATTTTATATTGACATATAAAATACATGCTTATAGTTTCATACTCATGTAACTGCATATATTTGCATTCTTGATTGCTTTCTTTTTGTGTGAGCTTTTAGCTTATCATGAACAATTTTGCCTCTGATTTGTGTAATGCTACTGCACAGCGTGTGCTATATGTGGATATTGATATTCATCATGGGGATGGCGTTGAGGAGGCATTTTTCACCACTGACAGGGTAATGACTGCGTCTTTCCATAAATTTGGGGACTTCTTTCCTGGTACCGGCCACGTCAAAGACATTGGTGTAGGTTTGGGGAAATACTATGCCCTCAATGTCCCATTGAATGATGGAATGGATGATGAAAGTTTTCGTAGTTTATTCCGTCCAATCATCCAAAAAGTCATGGAGGTTTATCAACCAGATGCTGTTGTTCTTCAGTGTGGAGCAGATTCTTTGGCTGGAGACAGGTTGGGGTGCTTCAACTTGTCCGTCAAAGGCCATGCTGATTGTCTCCGTTTTCTCAGATCTTTTAACGTTCCTTTAATGGTCTTGGGTGGTGGAGGGTATACAATTCGAAATGTTGCCCGGTGCTGGTGCTATGAGGTTTTGCCTCTCCCACCTTTGTGTGTTTTTTTGTGATCTCTCTTTGTATTTATTGGTTTAATACTGTACAGTTATGTGCTCTAAGGTTGACCTCTTTCTATGTTGCAGACAGCAGTAGCAGTGGGGGTTGAACCTGATAATAAATTGCCTTATAACGAGTACTATGAATATTTTGGTCCTGATTATACACTTCATGTTGAACCACATCCCATGGAGAATCAGAACTCACCACGGGATTTGGAGAAGATCAGGTTTGTATTCATGCACCAGACTTCTCATATTTTGGTTACATATGCATCAGGCTTCTCTTTATCTTTTTGGGGTGACGAGGGAAACCCGCAGCCACTACTAGAGGGTGTATTGGGTAAATCCCGCCTTGTGACCCTAACTGGAAATGGACCACAAGGAGGTAAACCAGCCTAGGTTGCCCATAGTTGACCGGCTCAAACCAAGAGGGTTGGGATTCAAACTCGTGACCTTGTGGTTACAAGTTTGTCTCCTTAGCTATTTTGGTTGGGGTTACCTACTTACCTCAGAGTAAGGGAGTCACTAAGTGATGGATGAGATAAAATATCACTTCTTCCCTCTATCTAGTTCTTCCTATTATGTGCTTGTTTGGCCTAGCTGGAGCCTCTCAAAAGGAGGCTCTTTGCCTCTCTCACCCCCCCCCCCCCCCCCCCCCCCCTCTTCTCTCTCTTTGGTATTTGGCACAACTTAATTGAAAAATACAAATAAGTTCCTTAATGTGTTGACTGCAATGACATGATATAGGATTTATGCTGCTGATGTTGGTTTGAGCATACTGGACAAATTCTACTATTCTAATGATCATGTTAATAGTAACTGGTTTGTCTAATTTACTGTTCCCTTGTTTTTCAGGGAAAGAAAAAAGAACAGTCAAATTTTCTGTTCTGTTCTGGTTTATATTGTGTATTTGTCTTGTAGTGATGACTTGTGAATGGTTAAGTTTGATTGTTTAAATGCATTTCCCACCCTTTTATGGTGTACCAAGTATCTGGATCATCACAAAACGGAATTTGTATTATATAAAATGGATATTGGAGGAAGTTACTTTGGTATGATGATCCCTCTTATGTAGTCTGAAACTGTTGGGTATGATTTCCTTTGTGAGGTTATTTTAACATCCATGAACAGAAAACCACCATTGTGTTGGACTTGATATTATACTTGTTTGACCTCAAATAGTGCTGTATGCAAATACTTTATTTTTTGTCAGTGTCAAGTTCATTTCTAAATACATTCCTTATAATTAATTTTTTATTTAAATGTTATTTAACGAGTATTTTGGCTGCAGGAATATGCTGCTCGAACAACTTTCTGAATTGCCACATGCACCAAGTGTTCCATTCCAGATGACTCCTTCCACTATTGAAGTTCCGGAAGAGGTTAGTAGCTGGATAGAATTCTTCTTTCTTTATGTATATTTGCCGACGTTATGTGATCTTGCTAAAGGACTTCTTCATACAGAGAGAGGAAGATATGGATCAGAGACGTAACCCCCGGATTTGGAATGGCGATGAATATTTTTCCGATGGTGAGGAAGATGAAAAGCCTCGTCTACGAAGAAGTTCTGATGCTAATATGACGCCCAAGAGAAACTCTAACATGAGGTAAGGCCTAAGGCCTAGAGTTTTAAAATGTTATTGGTATTTTATGTGATTGAAAAAAGTTTGTCATCTGTTACTTGTACACTTCCTTGGAAGCAAAAAATTGTTCTTTTATTTGGAAAACAGAAAATGCTATATGCCTTTGATGCAAACTAATGCTTCTATGAGGTTTAGGTTGTGATATGGGAAGGATTTTATAGTAGTTATAAGCTGTTAGTCATAAGGCGCCCCTAGGCCAAGGGGATTTTACCATTAGGCGGGCATTAGTCGGCCAACTACGCGGCCTAAGCGCCCAAGTCGGCCAACTCGGCTCCCAACTCAACCCACTTGGGTCTGCAATGTGTTTTATTATTATTACTTGCCCACTTAGGTGCTCTCCCGACTAGCGCCAACATTGGTTAGTCGCTTTCTCATTTTCTGAACTCCAATACAGTTTGGTGTTTGGACTTTGTTTCCATAATGCACATTGTCCTACCAGCTAAACTGTCTAGCACTAGTTTAAAAACTGAAATGCTGTGATTTTGTGTAATGCAGGGAGTACTTTGATGGAATGGATGATAAAGACATGATCGATGCAGATAACTAGTGCAGTGCTCCGTCCATTAAGAAAACCTTCCCCCGGCAAAGTTTCTTACCAAGTAGCGCAAGCTGACAATTTGTGGTGGCTGAAAACTTTTCCCAGCTCACAATCAATTTTATTCGATCGGTACTTATCCTAGAAGTTGAAGAAACTATAGATAGTAAATAGGAAGACTTAGAGATATCTAGTTTAATTTGAACATGTTTCTTGCAATGCTTTATGTGAGATATGATCACTGTAATGTAAACATTTTTCTCATGCACCTTTGGAGTAATTAAATTGGCCATAGTTGTCAGTTATAAGCATGATGTGTTCTGTTCTGTTCAATAGAGGTTTTGTTAACTAAGCTAGTGACTGGCACATGATTCTGGAAATCTTGGTAGCTTGAACACTAAAATAGCTAGTTGATTGTTTGTATATATATATTCTAATATAACATTTAAATTAAAAAAATATGAAAATAAAATATAAAGAAAAACCATACCAGGGGTATACAGGAAAGAAAAAAGGTCAAATTTTAAATAATAAATATATGAAAAAAATTTAAAAACTACTAGTTTATTTTTAAAACGCATAAGTAATGTTTTAAAATAAATTATTATTTTTCAAAATTTATAATTTATTAATAACTTAAAATAAGATAATCTGCTAACCAGAGCCTAAAGGGAAGGATGACAAAAGGGGAAGAGTCTGTGGGAGTGGGTTTAAGTGTAACAATGTTGTTTGGTAAGTCTCAAAACAAATGAGCTAAAGTCTCCAGCATGCTTGAAACTGTTACAGAACAAATGAGCTGCGTTTTCCATATCGTATGGATTAGCAATTGCAAAGCAATCTAGACTGGATTTGGGAGGATAGCATTTTCCAGGGATATCGTATGGAGGAGCTACCAGTTGTTGCATCAAATGTTTATCGCCTTCCGATCACTTCTCACTCAACTCTCAAGATCAAACCAAACCATTTCAACAACCAAACTGCTCCACGCTATAATTCTCAAGACCCATCTCTCCCATCACCCTTTTTACGCTACAAGAATCATCAGATTCTACGCTCTCAATGAAGACATTGTCTCTGCCCGCCGCCTGTTCGACGAAACACCCCAGAGAAGCATTTTCCTTTGGAACTCCATAATTCGGGCTTACGCAAGAGCCCACAGATTTTCCAATGCATTCCAGTTGTTCAAAGACATGCTGGACTCTGGAACCAGGCCGGATAACTTCACGTTCGCCTGCATTTTACGTGCGTGCTCCGACAAGTTTGATTTCAGTGGGTTGAGAGTGGTTCATGGAGGAGTGGTCGTGTCCGGGTTGGAATTGGATTCCATTTGCAGTAGTCAACTTGTGAGTGCATATTCGAAGTTGGGTCCTTTGGAAGAGGCTATCAAGGTGTTTGATGGGATAGCTGAGCCAGATTTAGTGCAATGGAATTCAATGATTTCAGGGCATGGGTGTCTTGGGGATTGGAAAAAGGCACTTCTTCTGTTTATTAAGATGCAGAGAATGGGGGAAAAGCCTGATTCATTTACTTATGTTGGCCTGATAATGTGCTTGGATTGTCCTAGTTTGCTAAGAATAGGGAAAAATGTTCACAGCCTGTGTTTAAAATTTGGTTTCGACTCGAATGCTCATGTAGGCAGTCTTCTGGTGAGTATGTACTCAAGATGCAAGTGTATGGGTTCAGCTTGTAGGATTTTTGATAGTTTACTAGAGCCTGATATGGTTACTTGGTCTGCTATGATTTGTGGCCTATCTCAGTCTGGGGATATTATGAAAGCCTTGGATTTCTTCAGGGAAATGAACATGAAAGGTGGAAAGGTTGATCCTTTATTGATAGCTAGTGTGCTCTCTGCTGCAGCTCAGTTGGCAATTGTCCAGCCCGGTAGGGAGACTCACGGTTTTGCTGTTCGATGTGGCTATCACCTGGAGGTTTCGGTATCTTCTGCTCTAATTGACATGTATTCTAAATGTGGGTTCTTGAATTTGGGTATCCAAGTGTTCAAAGCCATGCCTAGTAAGAACATCATTTCATACAATTCAATGATCTCAAACCTCGGTTTACATGGGAATGCAAATGAGGCCTTTCAGATCTTTGAGGAGGTATTGGAGAAAGAGTACTACAACCCAGATGAAGCTACTTTCTCTGCTCTTCTTTGTGCTTGCTGCCATACCGGTCTTGTTTGCGATGGAAGAAGATATTTCAGGATAATGAACGACGAATTTGGCATTCAACCCAAAACCGAGCATTATGTTTACATGGTAAAGCTTCTTGGGATGGCTGGAGAGTTGGAAGAAGCTTATGAACTTATCCAGTCTATTCAAGGACCAGTAGATTTTGGCATTTGGGGGGCACTTTTATCATGCTGCGACATCCATGGAAATTACAGATTGGGAGGGATTGTGGCTAAACATCTGTTTGACAATAAGGTAGAGAAAAGTAGTTATGGGGTTATGGTGTCCAATATGTATGCTGGTGACGGAAGGTGGGAGTGTGTAAAGAAGTTGAGGGTTGATATGGAAGCCATAAAGGGAAAGATGCCTGGAAAAAGTTGGATTAGTAATATCAAAATGTAATGGATTACATGCATAAATTAGCTAGCTAGCTGCACTCTTGCATCAAAATGTATAGGGAGATGGAAGCCATTGCTCTCAAAGGTAGAGTAGGAACAAGTAATTTGTTGCTATTCAGATTGTTATTCGTACCCTTCTTTTTAAGTTCATTATTTACTTTCCTTCAACCTTTTTTTCTTTTATTGTTTATTTTATTTTTGTGATATATTCAGATTATACAACAGAAATATTGTAGAGATTTTGGGGTACTAGTTCATGGGAAAATATGTTAAACTACGAGGTGTTCCTGTTTTCCTTATTAAAGTTTATGATGTAGGAGTAAAAAGTGTCTGCTACCTTGCAATGCTGCAGAACACGCTAGGCGCTAGTCAGGCACGGGGTGTCTAGACGCTGTCTAATTAAAAATAAAAAAAATAAAAAATTCATTCAAAACGACATTGTTTTAAGCGAAAAAACAATTAAAAAGTTCAAAGCCAAGTTGGCCGACTTGACCGCCTAGCAATCACCTACACCCTTTTTTGCCTTGGTCGTCCGATTTTTACAACAGTGTTACCTTGTATGTGGCTTGTAGATGAATTCATGCCAGTTTTTTTATGTGCACTGCAGTGTATTAAATTACTCCGTATATGCCAATATACAAGTGCCAGTTACATACATGTTTTGTATATAGCAACTCAATTTAGGGATTTACCCTCTTACAACCTCAAAAAGGAAAAGCTTTGGTGTCTTGCAGATGCAAAAATTTGGCATGAGATTTTCAAGTTCATCTGAATCACAAACATTTAGTAGAGGTGCATACTTACAGCTGGTATATTTTTGGTTTTATTTTCTTAATGTACTAAGAAGAAGCTGATCTGATTTCATGGATTGTGGTTATACTTACACTAAATTGCGTTTACACATATTTAATACGCGTTCGCATACACTTAATCTAATCTAGACCATTAAAAAAAATTAGATGGATGCACATGATGTGTTCTCACGTTCTCACCTAAGCACATGTTCTCATATGATCCTATATATATATATATATATATATATATATATATGTCTTTGTTATATTATCTTTACATCTTTTTTATATTACCACCCAATTTCTTCCTTCTCTAGGTGCCTAAGAATCTAATATTGGTATGTTCTCCAAAGAAGGCTCTACCTTTCATGGTGAGATAATTGTTTAGGGGGAAAATGACACTTTTTTCTCCTGAGTTATATACTTATAGCACTTTTTTTCCCTGAATTATTTATGTAAACACATTAGCTCCTCAATTATTTTAAAAATGGCAGTTTTCCCCCCTAATATATTTTATTGACATTTTTACCCTTAAAGTAAACATTTTATTTATTTTTTCTTTTCAATAAATTATTGCCTATACATAGGGATGACCACGGTTCGATTCGAATTGAACCAGACACTATAGCAATCGAATTAAAAGTTTCCGGTTATGATTTAGATCCAGAACCCAATATTTTAATTTCAATTCATTAAAATTATGAATCGAAAAAACTGGATCCTGAACCGTGAATCTGCGGTTCTAGATCCGGTTAGCGATTTTAAACCGTCTTTATTTTTAAAATTTTAATTTTTTATTTTAAAATAGTCTAAATTCAACAATAAATGTATTTTATTTTTTTCAGTTTGGACCATGAACCGGCCGTCCCGGTTCACGATTTTAATAAAATCTAAATATCGGGTTTCGATTCTAAATTGTAATTAGAATATTTCGATTTGATTTCTATAGTGTCTGTTTGGTTTGAACCAACTTGTGGTCATAATTTATTAGAGAAAAAAATAAATGAAATATTTATTTTAAGGGTAAATATGTCCATTTAACATTTCAGGGGGAAAAACAACCACTTGAATAATTCAAAGAGGAAAAGTGCTATATGTATATAACTTAGGGGGAAAAAGTGCCATTTTCCCTTTGATTAATGAATGGTAGATGATGTCATTTTCCTAAATTAATAAAGATAAAAAAGGAAAAAATTTAAAAAAGAGTTAATTCCAGCAATGGTCCCTCGAGTATGTTGATTTTCCACATTTAGTCCCCGTCTTTTAATTTGGACAATAATTTAACCATCCAAGTATTAACTTTTTTCCAATTGAGGTCCTTCCGTCAATTGTTGTTAAGTGAGCGTCAATTTCAAGGGGCAAATGGGTACTTTTATAGTCGAGGGACTATTTTGAGTATTTACTCTTTATTTTAGGTACAGAATTCATACTCTTAAAATACATAATTTTATAACATAAGACATATACATGCACCATGATCCACATCGCATTGTGAACCCTAGTCCATGATATAAGAATTGGTATAAAAGTGAGTACAAATCCCGTATCATTGATTTAGTTGATAAGAAATTTCATCTATTGCGAGCAGGATGGAGTGGGTACCATAAATTAAATGAATGTTAAATCGTAAAACTAAGTTGTCTCAATTTATCTCGAGGCTGATCCATTTATGAGATTGAGGATATAAAACTAAAAATCTGAATTATTAAAATATTTAAAAAAGAAAGAAAGAGTGGGACAAAAGCTGTTTAGTCTTACGAGGAAAAAATGATTTGTATGAACAATTCAAGTAGTTGTAGATAAAATTTGTCACAGTAGATCAACAATCGTATCTAAATAAGGGGATAGCTTTTACTTGAGAGCGCCATTTCACATTTTTTGTGACAAGAAAAAGAGTTCTACTACATAGACTTTTCAAATTCTACCCCTTATTTATACTTTTTGAAATGGTAAACAATAATTGATTATTTTTATCATATGAGTCCACTGAAAAGTGTCTACATCAAAAGCATGTGAGAAGGAATACAAGTTAGAAATTTAAAAAGAGTTCTACTACATGTACTCCCAAATCTTACTTCATCAAATTTACTCCCTTATGTGACGGGCTCTAATAGGTTATTTTTTTCATGTGAATCCCTGTAAAAGTGTCTACATCAATATTTTAAGTGTGGGAGTACAAGTATGGAATATGGAATGGGAGTACATGTAGTATTTTTCAATGAAAAATATTAAAAGAAGTGTCATAGTGTAATGCAAAGTGCAAAGCTCATTTCTCCCTCCGTGAAACAAGTGTCTCTGAACTCCCACGTGTCTTCTTCCCCATTTCTTTATATTCATCCCTCCCTTCCCTCATGCATCTATTCTCATTTCTCAATTCTCACCACCCACCTCGAATACCTCCTCCTTCACCGCCACCCATGGCCGAGAACACCTACCGCAATACCCAAAGCCATCACGCCCACGCCACCGATCATGGCATCAGCTACAAAGACGACTTAACCAGGCCTCATCAAAACGCCGGTGGTCCGACCACCCAGCAAATCCTAGCTTTCGTCACCCTCCTACCCATCGGCGCCGTCCTCCTCGGCCTCTCGGGCCTCACCTTCGTCGGCACTCTCATCGGCCTCGCCATCGCCACCCCACTCTTCCTCCTCTTCAGCCCTGTCATAGTCCCGGCGGCGCTGACCATTGCGCTGGCGGTGGCCGGATTCCTGGCCTCCGGAGCCTTCGGGATCACGGCGCTGTCGTCGCTGTACTGGCTGGCCAACTATGTGCGGCGGAACAAAGGAGCAGCTCGGGAGCAGATTGAGCACGCGAAATGGCGGCTGCATGAGCACCCGGCGGGGCAGAAGATTAGGGAATTGGGTCAGAAGATCCAAGAGAGCGCTAGATCTTGAGCTTAGCTTAGGTTCTTCAGTTCCATCAGAAATTTCTGCTTTGTTTTCAATTCTGTATTATCTGGTTTTTCAGTGTTTGTGAGTACGTTGTGGTATGTATATTTACCATGTTTAAATGTTTGTTTGTTGCGCTAATAAAATGGACTGTTTAAATTGTGTATGTTACTAGAATTTTTTTAATTTGGATGACAAATTAAATAATCTGTGGTCTTCGATTCTTACATGAATTGCGAGTTTAGATTCAATTTTTCTATTTCGGATCCTGCTAAAAATGTAGGGATGTAAATCTCAAAAAGATTTTTTGGATGGGGAAAAACCCCTGATGAATTGTTCCCTTAGCTTGCTACACCAAATTTAATCCCTCCCTCAATTGTACACTCAATTGCGTATAATTTTTTCTTGGGAGAAGAATTGTGTATAATTTTAATTTTGGTTGGGCAACCCCAACCTAAACATGTTGTTGACTTGGTATTTTTTCAATTTTTCAAAGTTTATTTTTTCGTGGTCCTTGGTCTGATTTATCTTCTTGGTAATTTTTTAAGTTTATTTTTTTTTATGGTCCTTTGTCAGTTAGGTTGATTTAGCTTTTTGTAATCCTTAGGATTACAAGGCAATTTAATACACATTGTGGCTGCTCACTTGTATCTTTCGTCTGTTAGATCATCTTTTATAAGTTAGATTGATTTATCTTCTTGTAGTTTTTTTTTTTTTTTTTTTTTTTTTTAGGCAACTCACTCGTAACATTATATATAATTGAAATACTAAATGTGCAAAATCAAAATACTTAAATGTAACATTATATAATTGAAATACTAAATGTGCAAAATTGTAGTTGCTCACTTATCTCTTTTGTCGATTGAGTTAGTTTATGTTCTCCTGGTCTTTTGTTAGTTAGGGTCACAAGTGTCTTATAACATTATATAATTAAAATATTGTCTTATAACATTATATAATTGAATATTGAATAATTAAAATATTGTCTTATAACATTATATAATTGAATATTGAATGTGTCTTTTCTTATTTAGGGTCACAAGTGTCTTATAATATTATATAATTGAAATATTAAATGTGCAAAATTGTGGCTGGTCACTTGTATCCTTTGTCAATTAAGTTGTTTAATTTTGTCACTTAGGATCACAAAGTAATTCAGTGCACATTGATGCTGCTCACTTGTAATATTATATAACTGAACTACTAAATGTGTAAAATTGTCTTGTAAGTTGTAACTTAAATAATTATAATACTAAATCGTAGATAATTGAGAGATTGAATTTGTTTAAATCGATAGAAAAGACCAAATTTTTCTAATTGTCCCTTTAGGAAATTTGATGAGCAAATTTAATCCCTCGATATAATTATTTATAATCTTGTATTTTTAATTCTTAACATTATATAATTGAGAGATTTTTTTTTTTTTTAAAAAACTGTGCATTTATTTCATCTAAATGAAGCGTCTACAAGTATACGCCATAGCCCCAAAAGTGGACTATAGCTCAAAGAAAGTCTAGGCCTTTTCGGCCAACTCAACAAAACAAACTATATATATATAATGGGGCGGCCCAAAAGTGACCACCCTACATAAAAGAAGAAAAGAGCTCCCAGCTCATCAACTAATGCAATCAAAACTCAAGGCCCAAAGGCTAACTCATCGAAGGGATCACCGGGTAGATTCTTGCCTTAATGACTCAAGCCTCTCCAAGCCTTCCCTTTCTTGATCTAAAATAGGCTCCCCGTCCCACACAAGTGATGGGAACGATGCCTAAGCTCTAGGATCCAATCTATAACCCGCTAACCTTAAGTCAAAGACCCATTCCCACCGACACGGTGTACCGTGTTTTAGTCCGGGGGAACTTTGCGGGTCCCGGCTTAAGCGATAGCTCTCACCTCGTCCACCCTCATGCCCAAGTCCACCCCCCTCAGCATAGCGTACTATGTTTTACCCGGGAGGGCTTTTGAGGTCCCGACATGAGCAATGGATCCCTCCCCACCACCCTTAGGCCCAAGGTCAACTCCCACGGCACGGCGTACCGTGTTTTAAGTCCGGGGAGCCTTTATGAATGTGTAATATTTAAATAATTACAAGATAGAATTTGTTTACAGAGATTTTTTTTTTTTTTTTTTGACAACTGAGAAATTGAATTATTTAAATAGACCAACAAGACCAAATATCATTTTTTTTTTTAAACTACCAAATATCATTCTTGATAACTAAAGATACCGAATGTGTTTAAATTGGCATGCAAGACTAAATTTTCAAAGAAAAACAATTCAAGTGTAGAAAGTGATATTGTAATAGGACTGATCAATGCTAAAATACACTCTGGATAAACATATGCATATGTTTTTATATGAAGAAATGTTACATTCTAAAACATATCCAAGATTGGCATCAAGATCACTATTTAATTTAGTGACTCATCAAGATCACTATTTAAACTTGTACTGACCACCTTCAAAATAAAATAAAAAACTTGTACTAACCAACAAGAAGCTGATGAACATTTGAGAAGTTTTCATACTATGTACATCACCACCATATTTACACACATCATCCCTTGTAAAAGCAAGCAGAAATTAAGGGTCGAATATGGTTCTGGAGTCCAGCAATATGTACAGATATATAGCACTAAACATATTTGAGTTTCTGTGACATTTTTTTTTTTTTTTTTGTATACTCCGGGTTTTCACCGTCGGACACCGTGACTAATCCCCTCGCCCTGAATTGTAAGCACCTCTAATAGGTGGGACAACTAGCCTGGAGATTTAAAGCTGCTCCATACGCAAAGCCAATGATCGAACACTTGACGTTTGGTTAAGGATGGATAAGTCCATTCCACTCAACCACACCCCCATGTACATATTTCAATTGTTCATCAATTTATCAAGGACCTCATTGAGGTCCACCGACTGCCCGTTGTCTGCAAGCTTTTTCACTGTTGCCTTTACTAAATCTCTCCTGAATCCCATGCGTGTAACCTTTTCAACAACATCCTCATCATTAGGGGCTGTGTTTCCAGTTCCTCCAGTGCTTGGTTCAGTACTGGCCACAAAGGAAGCAGTTGGAAGAGCATGTGGTAACAAAATCTTGTGAGCATGTGAGTACTGAGTATTTTGGTTTTCCCTATCCAGGGCCCAAGGAGAAGAGAATTCAGAGGTTTTCATGGTAGAGAATGGACTTGTGTCATTATAATTACCAAACCCATATGGCTTATTAGTACTGTCAGAAAATTCTGAGTACTGACTTCCTGAAGGATGATGGGTGGGTTTTACCTGATTGGTAAAGTCTGAATAGGGATGTTGAGCAAACTGGCCACCGGGATACTTGAAGGGAGATTCTGTGATTGTTGGGTTATAGGAATGAGGTGTATAAGTCCTCTCTTCCGGGTGATTCTTCGGTGGAAAATGGGTTTGAACATTACCAGTTTGAACATTACCAGTATCAGGAATACGATAATGCAGTAGAGATGGGTGAGTTGAATGCAGTGGTTGAGGAAGTTCTGGTGCTGTTTGATAGTTTGGATGAGGTAATGCAGGTGGAGGGACTGGGGGCTTTATCTGCTGATGATATGCACCTAACGTTTGACTAAGAGGCGGATTGTAAGATGGAGGATATTGTGGGTTGTAAGAGAGCCAATCCGGAGATCCTTGAGAAGGCGTTTGAGGTGCGGCAACTGGGCATTGATTTTGATAGGATACATTTGACAAATCATGAAGCAAATGAGTATCAGTACTCAAAGGTGTTGGTTGAGACTGTTTAGGGGCTATGGGTGTTGTTTGTAGAGATGGCGGCTCTGGAACTTTTATGTTTTGGCCTTCTGTTTGTGGGATGCTTGGCGCTTGAACCTTTGCTTGTTGAGATTGAATTTCAGCAATTTGCTGTGTATCCTTAAGAAGCTGGACACCATTCTGAACCTGCACAAGCAATTGATTTCACTTCTGCAGTACAATATCAATAAAGCCATATAAAGATAGATGGTGGATCCCTTTTTCTTTGTTGAGCATATAATATATAATTATAAATGTGCAATCCAACTATCATCTTAGGCTTTTAATTGAGATGATACACATGCTTAAATTTGGTATCAGAGCCAACCCCATGCCAAAGGTCATGGGTTAAAAGTCACCGGCTCGCCACACGTGAGGGAGCGTGCATATCAACTTAGGCTTTTATTTGAGATTGAGCACATACTTCAATTCCCTTCTCTCCCCTCTTTTGTTGGGTGTTTACTATTCACAGCTTGATTTTGATAACGCACCAAACAAATGGATTGTTTACTCAAGAAGAAAGGAAAGAAATCAAGAAATAAAAGGAAAGGGGAATCAGTCATCCAATCAAGTAGCAGATTTCCAGAACACAAACAAGGCATGAGCCAAGGGATTGTAGCAGATTTCAGGGATTGCAGCAGATTATCAGGAGAGAATTTTAGGGTGTTTACTTTTATAACATATATATGAGATTATAAATAAAGGACTTCCCCTTAGTAATAGGCAGGCAGTAGTAATCATAAAATAAGAGCTTCTTACAGCTGGGCAAGACTATTTCTTGCTGGAGGATATTTTATCCTTGTTTCCTGGTTTCTTTTAATTCAATTCTCTGGTTTGTTTCTTCCTCATAGCTCTTATCTCTAACAAATTGGTCCGACCTGCCGTGCAATGACCAACACACGAATGGATGCTCGTGTTGACTCATTAGAGAAGAGCCAGGAGGAAATGCATACAGAGATGGAGGTAATGCATTCTGAAATAAAAGATCGTATGGATGGGATAGAAGGTACGCTTGCCAAGATGTCCGAGCTACTCTTTTCACTACATGGGAAAAGGTCAGTAGAATCTAGTGTTTCTCCTGTTGTTGCTGCGGGCGGAAATTCCTCTTCAGATAATATCGATTCCGCACCGGTATCATTGCACCAGGTTCCTTCGGTCATTCCTTCGCTGCAGCCTGGCCGGTTGGAGATTCCAACATTTGATGGCACGGATCCGGTGGGATGGCTAGCACGGGCAGATCAGTACTTTGCCATTCAATGCACCCGTGAGGATTTGAAAGTGCCAACAGCTTTCATCAGTATGGAAGGACCAGCACTTCATTGGCTCCGTTGGCTTCAACAGCAACATCCATCTCTCACGTGGAGTCAGTTTACAACAGAGCTTTTGGAAGAA